GGCCTCAGCTCTGGAACTTGATTGGAAATAAATTATTAAAATGACATCAATTTCCTACTAAGAAATTTTATGCCGATTCCTTCACTTGTTTCCCTTCTGCTTTACGTCAGTAGAGTTGCGGTACGTAAATATCTGCATATCTCTGTTATCCCGTGTTTTTCAGCTCTTGCCTGACACAGAGACGACCCTTCCCTTCCACCGTGCTGCGTCCTCCTCCGTGCGTCCCCTCCAGCAACGTGACACCAAAGAGAGGGGGTGAGGCCCAGTCCCCGTCCCCCAAGGCAGCTGCTGGCTTTAACCACAAAGAAATTGCCTTAGCTACACGGAGGCAAAGCGAGATGTTCCAGATCGGGAACGGCAGCAGCTGCTGCCACCTGAATCTGTAAAAACCCCAAACTCAGCTGAGAAACAGATAAATGGAAAGTCAAACTTCTCAGAAGTGGAAAAAAAAAAAAAACTCACAAATGTTCTAAACATTATTCAAACTCCATTATTGCTCTGTAGCTGCTTAATTCAGCCCTTTCACCTGCCAACCCTGACGATGTCAGTCAAACACTTTATCATAAAGAATCTCCTACTCTTCCATATAGCCAGGCACATCCCAGGGTTTATCCAGGAATGAGTGACAAAAATGTAATTAAAAGATTTTTTTATTAAAAATCAACACATTTATATATTTATACATTCCATATACTGCTGTATATGTTCACGAACATTACCATTAAGTCAGAGAGCATTCACAGTAAAGATTCCCATTTGAACTAATTTACTGCAGGGGAGCTTCGGTTGCATAACGAGTCACACATTACAGAATGCATTAACCTCCTTTTCCTCCTTTTCTCTTTAAAAAGTAGCAGCATGTTTAATCATCAGTGTTCACAGGGCATAAGCCCTGAAGTGTTCTATAGCAGAAGAGAAATATTAATTAGCAGATATAGGCAACAGGAGAACAGCTCAATGAAAATGTATACTGCCTATAGTATTATAAAGAGTAGCTCCATAAAAAAGACAGATCTACACTGAATAGAGACCAAAGCAAAATGGGAAGAGCAATAAAAAATTAGTTCTTAACACAACTGCATAAAATAATATTTCTTAAAGCCATTCAGGATAATAATCTTGCCAAGAAAAGATTTTGTCATAAGCATTAAGTGGGGGGTCAGAATAATGCTTGTGTGTATTCAAATATGTAATAGGGATCTCAGGAAACATATCCTTACTCCACCTCTACCATCCTCCCACAGCCAAAAGTGCTGGGATTTCACGTTGTTCAGGCAGCAGAGTGACATCTTGCTGAACAGAGGTGGACAGGCCTGAGAAGTTCATCCAGAATTCAAGGCTCAGGCCAAGTAAGTGATAAAGAAGGGACATTAAATTGGGTAAAACAAGTGGGAAGGCATTTCTGCAGGTTGGGAGCGGTGGGGAGCCAAGGGAAGTTCAGCGTAACCAGGATTTTTGTGCTTAGCCTAAAGCACACAGCACAGGTTGCCTGAAGAAGCCAGTTCATGCATTACGTGCGTTCTCTAACGAGCAAAACCCCCGCTGCTTTCTCCTAACTTGGTGCTAGTCATGCTTGCAGCATCGCCGACATGGCGCTTGTCTCTAGATCAGTGGAAGATCCTAGGAGCTATCACCACACACTTGAAGCTGTTTGTCACCGTTTGAACCCTGGCAGATCCTCACCAGCAGTGTCTGCTGCATCTTTCCTCTCTCTTTGCTTTAAACAGAGGTAGAAAACCACAAGAGATAAGTGCCTTAGAGGTAAAATTTTACGACAGGCACATTGGAGATGGGAAAGGGGGAGTAGAAAACTGTTTAGCCTGTGCTTTTTGCATGTGTTGGCCATCCCGCGTTGTGGTAGCCAACGTGCTCAACTGCAATGTTTCTGTAATTAGAAGTTACAGGTTAAGAAATTCTCTCTCAACACCTGCAAATGCCATGAGAGAGAGAGCAGCCTCACGTGGCACATGTTGAATCAGACGGACCCTCACATTAAAAACAAACCCCACTCCTCTACTGTAGTTCTGGGCAACAAAGTTAAGGCTACTCATGGGAAAATCTCAGTGAGAGATGAACTAAGCAGCACAAAAGATAGATGAAATTACTACAGTAAAATTTAAATTAAGAAGAAATATTCTAACTGAACCTTTTCCCCAAGGGCATGGCTGAGGCAACACACCCTACCTAGAGAAAAAAAGAGCACAAGGAGCTTTCCAGATGTGCGAGTCCATTTCAGACTCGGAACACGATGAGTTCTTAGGCAAGAAATGTTCCTCCTTTGCTGCCTCCTGTCCTGCAAGAAACCAGCCCATTAATAGCCAAGTCACTGTCATGTTCCTACAGCCACAGGCACATCAAAACAACCCGCCTAAGGAGCAATGGCGACCAGGACTACAGGCACCCAACATACAAACGAGCCAATTGAGTTTAAGGGAAAAAGAAAAAAGATTAGAAAAAGGGAGAGGGGAGAACGGAATGAATTCAGTTTCTCCCATTGAAGACAGTCTTATGCAAAGGGTGTTGCTCTTATCCTACCTAAGGGCATGGGATGTCCATAAGGTTTCTGCTGGTAAAACGCAGGCCACCACATGTGTCTTCGTGGGCAGCCACTGCCCTCCGCAGGCTTTGATCCCGGTTATTCAACACGTTGTAAACGCTGGAGCAGCCCCGTTCCTGCACCCTCCTGCCAAGGGCTCTATCCTCCTGCTCGCTCTCGTCTTACCTGCTCTTTGCTCGTCACTGTTACTGCAGACCAAATCAATTCTAGCACAAAACTTAACTAAAATAGGTAGCAATTTATGATTTGCTGTTTTTTAATCCAAATTAATGGGGGGGGGGGATCCCTTAAATTCAGATAAATGTTTAACATTAGATATCCAAAAGGATGGCTATTACACAAGGGTGCTACTTTATTCTGATATTTGTGCTATATGCATAATGAGATATAAGTTTTTGCTGCTTTTTAGCCAAAATGCTTGTTTGGAGAACATGAAATACTAATGCCACACCTTCTTATGCGGTAACAATTTAAGAACTTACTTTGTACTCTGGGACAAGAGGAGCTCTGTTCAGCTGCAGTACTAGTCGATAAGGTGACCGCTACCCAGTGGCTAGAACTGGTCTTAACCACAGATAATGTTTGCTTTATTATGTCCTTACCAGGTAGGTACAAGGTTATGCTGGTGACGCTGCAAAAGAAATTACTCCCTATGAACTGCATGCTGTGATGCACAAAAGACTCAGAGCTTTGTAAAGTCAATTCCTTACCATCAGTCTGTATTTTGAGTATAGGGGAACTGCAATTTTTCTATTTCATCATTGCTGTTTGGATACAACATTTCCAAACCCTGAACACAGGCAGAAGATTCTGTTCATCCCAGCGCAACACAGGAAAATCACTCATGCCAGAAGTGATCATGCCAGGGTCAAAAATGCCCCCAAATATCCATTTTTGGAGCTCTCTTCACTAAACATAGCTAATGCCTTAGTAGAAAGGACTATCAGGCCTTACTTTTTAAAAATTTTTTTTTAAACCCTACACAACTGCTCTAAGATCAAACTCCAGAAGGAAGGAAAGATACAAACAACTTTTGCTTTTGTGAACCCTTTTTTTTTTCCTGATGCAGTCTGGTTGCTTCTTATTGGATGCAGCGCTAAGTTTACAAGGCTGCTCCTTGGTGCAGCAGACGACTTGCACCAAGATCGCATCTAGCACATACTGGGCACCTACCCCCTTTTGCTGGAATCCGGAAATCCAATTTGTAATGCTAAAACAGAAAGCAGGAAGCATCTTTCAATTCTGTGTTCAGACTCTTTCAACTACGTGTTGTTCATTAAGTTTGACATTTATTAGAGCTTTACAGAATTAGGAGAAATACTTTGACTTTTAAATACTCGGGTTATTTCTTTTTTTTAAAAAAAAAAAAAAACTTTGTTTCTAATCCTCTCAATGAAGGAAACTGCCTTTTAAAATTTAAACTGATTACTTTAAAATGATTAAACAGGATCTCAAATAGTTATGGGAGCAGTAAAATTATTTTGTAGTTGTTGAGAGGTATTAATTTACAGAATGCTTAGTAAAATACACCAAATGCAGTGACACTGGAGTGCCCCTTTCCAGGTCTCTTCCCAGTTAAATCTTCTCTTTCTGGGATCGCGATTGCATGAAGTCATCTGCATCATCACTAACATCAATTCTTGGTGAATCCTGCTGAGACTCTTGTTGAGTCTGTTTATGTTATAGCAAACATTTGTCACAACCTGCACACATATCAGCTACATCTTTATGCACCAAGAAAATTCTATGATAGGATCAATTTATTCAATTGTATGTACAGAATATTTGCATATTAATAAATAAGTCAATATTAAAGTCTCTTCTCCCATATAAAAGTGACTACAGTCTGACCAGACAATCCAACTCCATTTCTTTTTCAAGCACACCTGTGACTGAGGCTATCAGTTCCCACTGAGTTTATTAACTGTAAGAGTAGAAACCTAAGAGACCAGTGCTTAAGTTTGTTTTAACCCTATACAGCAGAGGAGAAGGGAGAGAGAAAAAAAAAAAAAACAGAAAAAAACTAAAATGTGCAAAGCCAACAATTTGTAGCGCAAAGTACAAGTTCATAATGTGATCCCAGGGAAGAGAATCCAGCCCGAAGGAGGACACACTGCAGCCAGCATTATAACTAATGCATGTTTTTGTCTTGATAAGGAACTGCATTGTGCCAGTCTCGTCACGTAACGTTCCAGGAACTCCACCTGCCACAGATGACCATCCCCACCTGTAAAAACCTGTCAACACCCTATCCAGTGCGAAGTGACATTTCTTAAAAGAGTTCTTTGCCTCATCTCCCTAACATTCATCTTGACTGTGAAGGAATGGCTCGCTTTCTTTAATTGCTTCTTAGTATGTACAGATGAGCCTATAATTGCATCTCTCCATTTCCGGTAGTGATTTTTATCTTTTAGCTACATTCATTAGAAAACAAGAGGATAAGTGGCCGTATTTCGTATTTGCTAAAGTCTTCCCGTTAACCCAGGGGCTACCTTTGCCTTGATTGATACCTAGAGTAGCTGCACTTCGTTCTTTTTCCAGCCCACTTCCAATGTGGTAAAAAGTCACAGGAACGTGTGGGACCTGGAACGTGTTTCAAGTCTGATTGCTGGAGCTGGAAGAGTGGGGAGTCATGTTTGAATTCAGATGTCTGTTTGCAGCACAGTGCGTGTGGACCATGCCCCCATGTGGGTCTCTCACAAACACAGGCTCGCAGAAAGGTTTTTGGCACACCTGACAGACCTTCTTATCCGACAGAAAAATTGGAGTTCCTTTTTGTTTAACCTGAAAGGAAGAAAGAATCCAAACATGAATCTATCAAGAAAAACAAGGAAATTAGGAGGGAGTACGAGAAGAGTTAACGGATACAAACATGTACTATTGAAACTCCATCAGGTGGACAAACTCTGTCAGTGATTGAGGTCATAGGAAAAGACCATTTGAACCATTTAACTTGAATTCCATTTCCACATTCACACTAGTTTCCTTGTTTCCTCCCAAGTACTGGTTTTTGCTGGTGGTGGTGGTGTACAGTGCATGTGCTCACATATCCCATGCAACCTATGCAACTTCCTAACCAACTCAATGAAAGTGAGTATTAGCACATGTTGCAGGTTAAACTGTTGCTAAAATTAAATAAATGTAAGAATCCACTGAGAGCTTTAAGCAACAGCTCCAAGAAGAAAAGCTTCACAAGTGAACTTATCCCTTATAAAAGCTATTGGTAAGCTTGGAATTTTGCCAGGTGTTCCGTAAACTTAACTGCAAATTCTGGCAAGGCTCAATCCAAGCGAAATGTTAGTTCAAGTTTGTTAAAATTTGGCCAAAGATTAAACTAGCAATCCCAGATGCATTTTCATTCAGTCCAAAAGCCCACAAAGCTGGTTCCTATTTTAAGGAACCCTTTTGTTTTATAAGGAAAGGGTAAAATAAATTTTGAATCAAGCAGTCATAGTAATACATACAGTTATTAGAACTGCTTGCAACCTGACAGCACAACTCTGTCCTAATATTTCTAACATTAGATTGGAATTGAGCCCTTTAAAGCACGAAACTTCAAAATGCCTCTATTAAAAAAAAAGAAAAATCCAACAAAAACCCAACACCACAACGGGACTAACCGACCTTCTCGTATTTGTAGATCAAGTTTTCGGCCTGCGCCAAGCCCAGCGCAACGCGGGTCATTCTCCTCGTGTGGACGCTCTGCCTCATGGCTCCGGCCAGGAAGGGCGAGAGCAGCTGCACGGACCAGCTCTCGGGCACCAGCTGCAAGACCAGCGCGGCGTCGAACTCGGTGGCGCGGCCGTTGAGGAGGTCCACGGCAGGCGCCACGAGGGCGCCGTCCGCCATGTCGCCGCCCAGGTAGGCCCCGAGCAGCATGTGGAAGAGCCGCTGCCGGTAGCGCCGCCCCCTGCGCTCCGAGCTCCACACGCAGTACTCCTCGGCGGCACGGAAGTCCTTCAGCTCGTGCACCAGGATGTGCAAAGCCTTCTCGTGCTCTTCGAGCTTCCCGTACAAGATGGCGCTTTCCATGTGAAGATCGGTGCCCTGGATTTTATCTGTGAAGAGACGGGCGCAACGTTCTGCTCAGCGGAGGAGAGCGCTGCTCCCTTCCCAGGGCTGACACCAACACCCCCCATGTGATGAGCTCGATTCTCATCATCTCTGAGGAGATTTTGGCAGCTATATAGAGGACAGATATAATAGTAGAAGGATGCCCAAGCATACATAACCATCTAACAAAACACCACAAAATATAGGAACACCCTCCCACAACACTAAACCACCGTGACAATGACAGTAACAAAACCAATGGCACTGATACCTTCCACAGCTCTAGCTTGAGCCTTGCTACCTCTGCCCCCGCTGCTCCCATCTGTGATCGGCCACAAGACAAAGCTGCAGTATTTTTAACCTCTCCTCCTCAAAAATAACATTTTGAAAGTCTATAGAAGACACTGGTAGCAAAACAGCGCAATCTTAAGGACAATACAAAATCCTCGATCCACTTTGGCAGCTGTGAAGTTCAAGTGTTAGCAACTGGCTAACAGAATGATAGCAGGTTCATCAGGAATTTCAGGATAAAGTAAAAACTCTTACTTATTAAAAGTGGTAAACGGGGGTTAAAATAAGTATGGTGTTTTGTAAAACACTAGTAATTTTATTTCCCCCTTAAATATTTTGGTTCTCAAGGAGGAATGCACTAGCATATGCACTCATCTCATCATCATATAAGATAAAAATTTTCACGTAAGATATCCTGTATCCACAGCATACGGACAAGGATTTCAGGAGAACAATCCTGCTTGTAACTCCTACCTTTAAAAAAAATGGGTTAAAAAGAACAAGGTTCATAAAGAGCAAAAGTTTCATGACTGATATTTGTAAATTATTTGTTCTAAGCTGCTTTGACTGGAAAGGCAAGTGGATGGAAAGTATTGTTATTTTAGTTATTCAGCCATTTTCCTTTCAGGTACCAATTCTTCCAGAGAAAGATCAGAAAACCAATTCATTATTTCATTATAATAACAAGTCATTTCCCTCTCATCCTTCGGGAAGTACACTACGCAACAGCCATTATAACCACTGGCCAAGGACTAATTTCAGCTGTTAAATTGTTGCTTGCCTTACGCCAAGATGTATATTGCCCCTTTTTACACAAAAAATCACTCAGATTTTTGCCTACTATAAATCCCAGTTTTCAGGGTTGTGGGGGGGAAGTAATTGTGGAGAACAACCAAGACAGATCCACAAGTCCTTGGGAATTAATTCCTTAATGCTCAGCTATCTTTCACGCTGAGAGACAGACTGCTTAAAAATTTAACTCTTGCATTTGCAAAAGACCATCACAAGTTACAGCTCAAAAAGAAACAACTTTTTTTTTGGTATGATCTTTCTCCCAGCCCGCTATAGCAGTCCTTGCTTGGGGCAGCAGCAAACATACTGCTCTAACTCATGAAATGTGTGAGACCAAAGCCAGTGGTAACAGATAGGCCTTTTCTAGCAACTTCTATCTATTTGAAAGCAGCAGGTTAAGCCCTATACACCTAGAAACCTCAAATCTTTAGTTTTCTATCCTTATGAAGATTTTATCCTACTTTCTCCTAGAACTGATATATAGCATTTATAATAGAGAAAACACATCTTACCCAAAATAAAGTGAATTCTATAGAGATCAGATTTTTGAAGAAGGCTGCGCAGTTTAGACAGCAATTCAATTGTTTCTGTACAATTATCTGTTGCCACAGATTTCAAGTGAAGTATTGCTTCCAGATACAAGACAGCTAGGTGGGTATGGTACTTCTCCTTCTACAGATAAAGAGGGCAGTGTTAGCTCGGTTTACAAAGACAACCTCTTCTCCCACCGATAATATTTTGATGATTATTTACATAATTGCATAGAAATGTGTTTTTATACATTCACCTAGTTTGTATCAGTCAGAAAAAAATCTTTTGTTCATGCAAATTGAGAAATTACTCAAATGACAAGTTATTCAAACGAGCATCACAAAACAACTGCTCTGAGTTCTGTATGCTATCTTAATTTCATAGACTTTTCTGAAATACAGATATGAAAAAAACCCACTTAGTCCTAAACCATACTTTGCCTTAAATAAAGAAGCTCAATAAGTAGGTTCTTGGGCAAAAGTTTTCCTTTCAGATGTTCAGCTAATGAAAATTAAAGCAATAAAGCAGATCTTTCCTTTGCATACAAATATAACCTATACTGTGCCTTTGTGTTTTTTTTCACCTTGTAAAATGAGTAATTTTAACTTAATTCGTTCTTCTTCATATTCAAGTGTGCTCTTTGACCTCTTCTATTGCTGCAATATATTGCAAGGAAGTCACCAGAAGTATATAACCAGTACAAAAATGTATCAATGGAGCAATATGTGTAATAATTTATATAAAATCTAAATACAGCAATATATGTACTAGCATAGCGCTCTTTCATACTATTCACCACCACATATTCAGCAAAAAATAGTTGATAATTGGATTATTGTTTGAAACATTCCCACAAAGGCATTCACAATGACCCAGCACTTTCTGAAGAGGACAGTTTCAAATCCAGCTTTTTACCTGCAGGTAGAATAAATTTAATTATGTTTGTGGGGTTTTTTTTTTTTTCATTCCAAAGACACCGTTCAGCCGTTAGTATTTGTCTGCAAATAGTCATGACATTAGAAACCAGGATTATTATTAGTCATGGTGCCATACACCAGATCCTTGAAAATATTTACTGCATTATTATATAAATATACTTTAACAACAACAGAAGAAAACCATTGATCTAGCATATACATTTCAAGAATGCAAGCTAGAGGACTGGCCACCAGATCTGCTCAGTTCTTTCACAATTCACTTCTTTGCTTTATTTACAGCTTAAAGTCATATTCTCCTGTGCTTGAAGCACCTCGTTTCCAAGCTCCAAAATGTGTTGCTTCTTCTGTATTATGCTTTACATATTGATAAAATCCAAAGCTAGGATACAGTGCTGTTTATGAACTGTGAGCACTCTAGTCATTCAACTTTGAATGGTTTGGAATCCTACAACATAAGTTGTACATGTCTTAATTCTGATGCTTCTTCTATAAATCTCTCCAGGACAGAACACACATCTACTTGTGAAACACTGAATTAGCAGGCTTAGTGTCTTACTGCAACAGGATTAGCAATCTTTCAACCATTTTTCTATGGCCTTACCAGAGGATGACCTTTCTTTTGCACTGCAAGTCATTAGCTCTGTTACCTACTGTGAGAAGCTATAGCCAGATAGCCTCAGGTGTTCTAAAACAACAGTTAAGATTTACACACTAACACTTAAACATGTTTTCTAGAAATCAATA